TATTTCATTTAGAAAAACACAACTTTGATACTTTTGGGGCTTTTGGGACACTGTACATTACAAAAATATTTTTAAAATGTGCACCCGATAAGCGTCTGTGGATTCATCAAATAATACTTTGCAAAAAGCAAACGGGCTAGCCGCAAACGTCCGTGCCGTATAACGTGAATAACCCTGTATAGAGAAGTTTACGTGGTGTTTCAGTCACATCAGAAGCAAAATCGCGAAAACAAGGGCGGGAAGGACGACCCTGCAACCCTCCTCAATCGATCCAGGAACCTAAAGAAACGAATGTAAATTACGACTTTTAACACCCTGCATCTCCGGGAGATGTCAACTCTCGGGTAAGGCTTTGACGTGTAGTATCTTCAGTGTTCGCATTTCCCGTTCTTAAGGAATCGCCCTGTATACTAAAATAATTTTGGAGTTTTTACATCTTCCTAGTCCAAAGTGTACAGGGTGATTCAAAATTGGCGCCATTCCTATTAAGGAGTAATAGTAATAGTAATTTGGCTCACTCGAAGAGTACGAGAAATATATAAAAAAAATTTTTTTCGATAATTTGGAGAATATATTAACAGTTGAAGATCCAATTTCAACTTTGTTAGTAAGCATTGTTTTGAAATTGCCCCATGTTTAATTTGTAGCATATTGGAATACGTAATCATTCAAAAAGAAAAATTACGATGTTTGCTTCAAATTGAGAAAATTTTTAATATCAAAAAAGTTCTCTTCTATATACAATTTTTTGATGAAAAGTCAAGACGGCATTGATGTTTGTCATTAACAGATCATTATTTCACTGGCACTAAATAAATACCGAGAAAGGGCTGCATTCCTACCACGTATGTAAGATACGCACAGCACAAAGACACATTGAACCATTGGCTTACTGAACACCGGTACAAATTGAGCAGGAGTTAATTAATCGAATACGAGAAGCTGCTCGATAAGAGTGGAAAATAAGGTTATGTTATGTTTATTTTTAAACATAAATTCGAGGTTATGAGAACAATAATTGACATTTCGAAAAAGTACGTTCGACATTCAACGAATCCTGTTGAATTTACGGTTTATCCTTGTCTATTTTATTGTCACTTTCTGTATAATTCTATGGTTACCGGAGTTTTTAATAATTACGAAGCAACAGGTATTATCGAGAAATACACGGATTACCGTGAAAACCATTGTTGCCGTCTTTCTGATATAGTTTTTTGAAAATTTCTCAGTTTTTAATAACAATTAATTTTTTTTTACTATTTTTTCTGTACTCCTAAAACACCGCCAGACAACACCTCCAGAGGAATGACGCCGATTTTAGATCACTCTGAATAATTATCTTGTTGATTTTACCGCTGCGCGACTTGTGGCTACATGCAGACTATGAGTCACTCTGTATATGCGAAATTTCTATACTTAAAGTACTGAAGAAGTTGTGTTGTTTGAAAGTACCTAAGTTAAAGAACTAATGTTCAGTTTACTTACCTGAGATTCGGTTTTTTCGCGTTTTCACATACTTTGCTAACTACACTACCAGAAAAGCGGTTGATGAACCAAAAGTTTCAGCTTTTCCATGACTTCGGCCACATTTTCCTCCCTAAAATTCAACACAAATCCAGCACTAAATTAGCCCTATCGACGACTCCAGTTACCATTAGGTAACAAACAGCTCTTGTTTGGCTGGATATCCTAGACAACTGGAGTGTTTAAGTATTGAAATATGGAGTAGGGTCAAATGTGCTGGAAATAGCCGATACAAGGTACGACAAGCTTCGGATTGGGAAAAGTCTGTGGCCCAAAGCTGAAACTTTTGATTTATGCGAAAAATGTCCGGAAAGTTGCACAACTCAATGGCATTAACATCGCTCATTTATTGATTATTTTCCGAAATAACTTTCACATAGTTCAGGGGATATCGTTGAATGCTCCACATGTATCAGCGATTAAGGGAAGGCGGCAATACAGGGTCATTCAAAATAATCGTTCATCCTTCAGAAGCTTGAAATTCAATGTGTAGTTTGTTAATACCGATTGTTGCTAAATACATAGTTCAATGCGGCATTGAATGGCAGGGTTTTATCTAATCTGTCTAAACGTTCCAGTGAAAAAAATGAGTTTGCTTCTTGAGGAATTCGGTTTAGAATCAGCGCAAAATATACAGGGTGAATTTTTTTCGATGACCAGTATAGGGATTTTTGAAACTATAGCAGTTGCGGAAAAGGTTAAATGGCCAAAGAATTATAGTTTTGAATGCTCTACTCGAAACCAATTTTATTTTTCTAAAATTTGACAGCTGTCAAGAGATATTTGGGAAAAACTTATTTATGGTAAATTTTTAAATTACTCCTAGTTCCGTTGACATTAATTTGACAGGAAAACATTAAATGGAAAACTTGTAGGAAATTGAATTCCAAACAAAATGGCATAAGACATTTCTAGAAAATAACTGTCATTTTTGACATATGACACAAATTTGAGTTTGTTTAAACGGCAACTATACTTGATTATTGCTTTACCCAATAGAGCATTTTATTACGATTTCTGTGATATCGTTAGGGTTTTTCCGAAAATAAAGTGTCTGCGAGCAATTTATACTTTTGCAATTTAGTTGAACTAACTTAGTCATGGAAAATAGTATAATGCATAGCATTGCTTCCATAGCAACAAATAATATCAACAATTTGCGTACTTATTGAAGTTTTACGTAGCCAAAAAATTAAGATAAAATAATAAATGAAACTGTGCGGAGGTTAATGTAATTTTCCATTGTAAGCCAGAATCCACAGATTTCAACCAGAGAGATCGCATGAGAATCCGGGACTTTCCAAAGCACCGTGATGAGACTTTATAAAAACACAAATTCCATCCGTATATATTATCAATATTGCAAACTTTACATCCAGGCATTGGCGTAATTCGGGGGTGGCAAGGGGTGGCGGCTGCCACCCCAGAATTGTCAAGAGCAATCATTTGCCACCCCAGAATTTTAAAGTAAGTGTCAATAATTAACATATCCCTAAAAAATAACTGAAAAAACTGAAAAATACAAATCTGCAACTGGGATTGTTCTTTAACTTGTGTGTAAATGTGCTCTTAAACCTCGCTACTCAGGAGATGTATATCACATTAATGTGCAGTGTGATGTGAAGGTTCATACGTACATATTGCACGTGTTGTACATATTGTACATATCTACATAATGACATATGGTAAGTACATTTCAGTTATTTCATAGATTCCATTTATTGGTCGGTTTCAGGAGTTTCCTCAACTTAAACCTTTTCAATTCCCTATCGAATGGTATAACTGTTTTTTTTTGTCAGGCTGAAAATAATAAAAGCGCAAAATTTGTTGTTCTCCTACTTTACGTCAGGCCGAGCAAGCAAAAAGAAACAGAAAATGAACCGCCAGACGAAGTTGCTTAGGAGCATAAACCAGAACCTGATGTAGTAGATGTGTTGGGCCCGTCATTCGCTCAGCCAGCTACAACTACGAAGGAGTCCACTCCTGCAGAGGAAGTACAGAGGCCCAGCTGTTCCTCTAGTTCTATTGAGAAATCGACAAATGGTCTAATCAGTAAACGTGATCCTGCTTATGGTCCAGGTTTGGCTAAGGCGTGTTTTAGGGAAGGCTCCTTTCAACCAATTAAATTAAATTTTGCTAAAACGAATGGTAGCAAATTTTGGAGAGTGGTATAAAATGTTTTCTTGGCTGGAATACATCTCCTTAACCGATAAAGCATTCTGTTTTGTCGTTCGTTTTACAATCCGGAAGAAAAAAACAATGCAGAAGATGTATTTATACTCAGTGTATTGCTCAAGTATATAAGAATCAAAAAACAAAACTTTTCAAGAAAGGGCTGACGTTTTTGTATAAAAATCTTTGAAAAGTGTGTTTCCTTTTTGAAGTTTTTCGTGTGTTTTTACGATTTCAATAAACTCTGCATCCCTATCTGAGAGGTTATCTTCGTGCTTACGACGGTTAAAAACATACGCCAGAAGCAAGATTGTCCTCGTTAGCCCCTTTGGCTATTGAAACGAGTGTTGTAATAAACATTTCCAAAGTTATTGATGCCTTTAATTCAAGTCAAGAATAAAGACTATGTATGATGGCAATTGAGTATAAGATTGTTTTGCATATTGTTTACTAAATATGTATGTTTACTTAATACGTATAATTATATTTATTAACTACATATCTTGAGTTAATAACTCAAGTGATTAAAAATTATTGTTTAATCGACAAAATGAACACTTTTGGAATCAAACAAATCCCCACCACGTTGAGCAAAGGGGACCACAAACTAGATTTGGGTTTTACGTTTGAAGCGGAATGGTAGGTTCAAAAATTCTTAGACCATTTATTTTTGATGGCACCTTAAATAGGAGTCGGTATATTCAATTCCTTCGGAATAACTTTGATTTTATGTTGGACGAATTAGGCTTAGAAACATGGCGTAAGGTGCAACGGTTTCAACATGATGGCGCTCCTCCGCAATTTCTCCCAAGTGGGAATCACCTGGACGTAACATTTCCTGGGGCTTGGATTGGACGAAACGGCCCTATTTTATGGCCATCTCGATCACCGGATCTTTCACCTTTGGATTTCTTTTTGTGGGGAGCCGTAAAAAAACACAGTTTACAAAAACAAATATTCCAATTTAAATGCACTTAAAGAAGCTGTTGTTAGAGCATTTGAAAATATTGATGGTCGATCCGCAAGAAAAGCAACTTATTCAGTTTTAAAGCGTTGCAATGTTTGCATTGATAAGAATGGTGGACTTTTTTCTGATGGTTTCTAGAGTTAAATTTTAATTATTATTGGTATGATTTGATTTGTATAATAAACACTTTAAATGAGCAGCGGTCTTAATTAAAATAAGGTTATTGCCAACTTTAAGCGTTAAGCATACTGTTACTATTTGTTGCTATAGAAACAATGCTGTATGTCTGATACTATTTTCCATGGCCAACTGAGAACAACTAAATTGAACAAGTAGAAATTGTTCGCAGACACTTTATTTTCGAAAAAAACCTAACAATGTGATATATCACAGAAATCGTAGCAAAATGCTCTATTCGGTGAAGAAATAATCAAGCATGGTTGCCATTAAAAAAAAATAAAATTTGTATAAAAAATACAGCTATTTTGGAGAATCTTATGCCATTTTATTTGGAATTCAATTTCCTACAAGTTTTCTATTAAATGTTTTCCTGTCAATTTAATATCAACGGAACTAGGAGTAATTTACAAATTTACCATAATTAAGTTTTTCCCAAATATCTCTTGACAGCAGTCAAATTTTAGAAAAATTAAATTGGTTTCGAGTAGAGCATTCAAAACCACAATTCTTTGTTCATTTGACTTTCTTCGTAACTGCTCTAGTTCCGAAGATCCCTGTACTAGTCATCGAAAGAAACTCACCCTGTAGGTACATTGCTTAACACCCACTCTTTGGTTGAAATTAACTCACGACCAGTTGGGTTTTAATTTTTACTTTATCTGGTTTTATTGGTCCTGAAGATTACCGATTAAGTCGAAAGTGCCTTTCCGACGTATTTTTTATAATAATTTTTCTCACTTTATTTTTCTTCTTTGTGATCTATTTCTATCATTAATTTGCTTTATTCAATGAATAGAACTTTCTCTGTCAAAACCAATGCATCAGAAACATTCAAACAAAAAATACCAAAGAATGGTAAAAATTAACGTTATGGAACACCCTAGAAAATATCTCTCTGTAGGAATCTAGGCTACGCCACTGTATTATTACCTCATGAACTCGACTGTTTGACAGTGACAATCCATCAATACGTGTCATTAATTACAATAGGCCGAACAAATGCAGCTTTCAGTTGGATTTCTAACAAAAATGTTGTCAAAACCCGGACAATGAGTGAATTCTCCAGTCAGTGGCGGACAAAATAAAATAAACTAATAAAAGAACTTTCGCAATTTTATTAATGCCATTTTTACAATAAAGTATCAATTAACGTTAATATCAAGGGCTGATTAGTGCTTACTTGTAGTACAACATCAAGTTCAACCAATCATCTGCCTACTTTTATGGATAATACTAATATATAGGGGTGGGAATCCAGCATCCAGACTTGTTCTAAACTAAACTTGCTTAATATATCCCGGTAGTTAACCAAGCATTGAGCCAAATACATAAAAAATAAACACTAAAGATACGAGTTGTAAGCCCCCAGGTATACGTCCGGCTAAAGCGCTCCCCCATGCACGTCCCAAGACCCTTTGCAAAGGGTTCCAGCCGCTTAGAACGAACATGGGGAGGCAATTTTATCGAAAAAATCAGTCAAAATTGGAGATTTAATTTAGATGGCTAATCCTGCCATCTGATTGTCGTAGAAGCGATTTCAAGTAGTCTAGTAAGTGCCTGTTGCGGGACTCCAAACTGGGCCTTATTAGCTCCTCTTCGGAAAGACCGCCCTGCGCACCCAAGTTGCGTCCAAAGCGCATAAAGTTGGAGCTGGCGGTTCTGCCAAAGCGCAGGTAGTTCTCATGGCGCTTCAGAGCATCTGCGCTGGCTGCTGCCTGCCGTTTGTCGCGCTTCTTCTTGCTGCCCTCACTTATGCTTCTGCCAAACCGCAGGAAGCTGGATTTGTCCCTGGCCGAGCGTTGCTGAGGATTGTCTGGAAGACTGTTTAAAAAACGCATTTTTCTAATATCTGTAAAACCGTCTGGGGGGTTTAGGCCTGGGTAACACTGTGTTGAGCGCTATTGAGTTGTTGCCACTCTCTGAGTTAACGTGTTATAATTCATCGGTTAATGAGTTATAATTAATTTGTTAAAGCTTTACGAGACCCGAGACTAGAATTTTCACATCTAAAAAAGGAGGAAATTCACTCAAGATTTTTTTTTCTGACTAACGTTTTACTACTTTGTTCAAACAACTTAAAAAAAGTATTCTAGATTTTCCCAGCAACAGAAATGAGTCCGAAGAAGGTCGACGAGTTTACTTGTAAAACCGATTTCTTAATTTTTTTGCATAAGATATTCGGTTTGTCAGTATTTTACAGTAAAACGTTAGGAAAAACGCTGTTTTTCTGTTTAATGACAGTGTTGTTTAGAAATATTGACCTGAAAGGGAAGAAACCTCAGTTTTCAATAGTTTTCCAAATAAATGATCATAAACTTTCGCTTTTTCAGTTCGGGGAAATATTTTTTGGAAAAGAGCCAGAAATAATGATTAGGGTTCTGTCCATAATTCGAAGCTTCAAAAAGTTTTCCACAAATTTTTGCAAAGCGCTTAAAGAGGCGAGTGTTATAAATAATATAATAAATAAATATTTCCAATAAAATTTATCTCATAATTTTTCWTGGAAMATAMCYGAAGGTTTGTCAGTATTTTAAGTAAAGCTAAAAAGTAATGCGATTTTTGCGTCGAAAAAATTGTTTAATAGAAATTTTGTTAAAACTGGAATGACCTAAAAATTTAAAGGAACTAAAAATCTTCAGAGCAATGAGAGCGGAGATTTTTCAAATAATTTTTTGAAACTTTTGTACTCTGGTCGTTTTTCCAAGATAATCATAAATACTTTCGGTAAAAAACTAGATAAAATTATTTGGTTTTTGTGCCAAATTCGAAGCTGAAAAGGGTTTCCTAAAGTTCCCTGAAAACTGATGAAGGCGGCGAATTTTCTAGCAAAATTAATGTTCTCATTTTTGGCTGAACAGACCCGATTATTGTCAGAAAAGAAGTTTCATGATCAGTTTTGGAGAAAACCTTAATAGTTGTCGGGAAAAAACGGGAAGAATTTATTTTCGTTGTTGTCTCGAATTCGACGCTGAAAAAAGTTTTTTTAAAATTTGTACAAAGCTATACATTTATGATAGAATTTTTCAAGTAAAAGACTTCCAGACCGTCAGAATTTTTAAGTGAAACTCTACAAAATAGAGCGTTTTTGAGTAGAAAGTAAAGCAAAAAAAATAAAGCCAAAACTAAAATATTAAATTGTTTAACAAATTCAACAGTCTTCAGAGGAATGGAGGTGACGAGATTTCCAAATAATCTGTTTTAAACTTTCGCTTATTCTGTTCCTTTTTTTAATGCAAAATTATTTGATTTTTGTTCCAAATTCAATGCTGSAAAGGGATTTAAAAACTTTTTACAAAGCGACCAWGGCAGCATTTTTAAGTGAAACTTTAGAAAATTGACAATTTAGAAGAAAGAGTAACTTGGCTAAAACTGGAAAATTCTGAAATTTTGAARAAATTTAAAAAATKTAATTAATAAATGGCCCTTAAATTAAATCTAAAAGCAAGTAAAAAAAAGTGATCAACATTTTCGCAGCAACGGAGCTGAGTTACTGCGCCGGTGCGTTGAGTTGGCGCACCAAGCCATTTGCGTGGCACTGCGCCAACTCCAAAATCACTGAGTTACCCAGGCCTAGGGGGGTTCTTTTGTGGAAATGTATGTGGAAAAGTAATTAAGCTCGGTGCAAAAGTAAATTTCCAGTGTAATAATCGTGCAATTACTGCTTAAAATCCCAGCTAACGGTACACTTTGGTCCTTTTGACGTGCATTAGTATTAAAGTAGCCTTTAGCCCGATTTAGCAGTAGAAAACTTGTGAACTCGTACCGCCTAAAGTCCTGCTTACTACGACCGAACCTAATAAAGTGATCGTTTTTTCCTTGCCTTCCAGTTCTGGGGGGCCGTTGGTCCGCTTTGTCGCTGTATGGGGCCTCGTTGCCGCTCTCGTAGTCCCAAAAGGCTTTTCCAAACCGCAGGAATTTGTCGTTGCCTCTGGACTGTCGGTCCATGTAGGGCTCCATGTCGGCCTCCTCATCCGGCCCGAAGATCTCGTATCCCTCAAAAGAGTCGTCGGTTAGCGACAGCGCCGATTGAAGCAGAAGCAATGCCATCAAAATGACCGACAGCCCCATGGAAAAACAATTGTCTGCAACAAAACATGGAGGTACGTTCTTATACAGGGTGGGTGATTGAAACAGATGTTAAATATGAACAAAAACGTATTTTACAATCGAATTCGTGTCAATTGAGTGGACCTTAGAACCCAAAAACCCATTTCAAATATACAAGGTGGTCGGCAATAAATGCAACAAACATTTTATTGAAATTTAATTACCGACGTAAATACAGGGTGTCCCGTAAACACATAATCAAAAGGGTACCGCGATATTCTTTAAATCAAAAGATGCCGATCTGACCTAACTTTTATTAACAAAAAATGTCTGGATCCACGGCTATTGATGGTCAAAGTTCTTCAAAAAATTTATCTTTTTTGAAATATCGGGAGAATGGTACGATGTATTTTGGTGAAACTCGCTGTGAATACGTTTTTATGTCAGATTCATAGTTTGGTGAAACAAGCGAATTTAGCCGTTTTGGACAAGTAGTGAATTCTTGAGTGTCGTGATACAAAAACTAGAACCAGAACTTTTTATTTGGTGGATGGAATCAATTTTTTTTTGTTGATGCACTAATCATTTGTTCACAATTTTATCACAAATAAACGCGTACGCTTTCACGCAAGTTGTCTTCGGGAAACGCTAATACTTTGACCATGTCAGTCACTTCATTAGAAGAGGTTATTCAAAACGAATTTGTGAGATTGATTGATAATGATTTTATGCCTCGCATCACGATATTTGCAGTAAATATCTAACATTGCTAAGTGACAAGAAAACAGAAAGATATTTTTTTCGCAAAATCTATGAATGCTACAAGATTTTACAAAGAGCATAAGATTGTGAACAAATAATTAGTGTATCAACCAAAAAAAATTGAGTTTGATTTTATCCACCAAATAAAAAGTTCTGGTAGTTTTTGTACCACGACCCTCAAGAATTCTCCACTTGTCCAAAACGGCTAAATTCGCTTGTTTCACCAAACTATGAATCTGACATAAGAACAATTTCACAGCGAGTTTCACTTAAATAAATCGTATCATTTTCCCAATATTTCGAAAAAGATAATTTTTTTAAAGAGCTTTGACCATCAATAGCAGAGGAGCCAGACAGTTTTTGTTAATAAAAGTTAGGTCAGATCGTCTTCTTTCGGTGCAAAGAATACCGCATTATTATTTTGATCATGTGCTTACGGGACACCCTGTATATTCTACTCGTCTCAAATTATAAATTACTCTCCTCTACGTAATTTTGAAATCATTTTTAAAACAATCATATTAAAACCAGTTATTTTCTATATTACTATCTCTACAGGGTTATTCACGCTATACGGCACGGACGTTTGCGGGTAGCCCGTTTGTTTTTTGCAAAATCATATTTGATGAATCCACAGACGCTTCAAGAGTGCACATTTTAAAAATATTTTTGTAATGTACAGAGTGTCCCAAAAGCCCTAAAAGTATCAAAGTTGTGTTTTTCTAAATGAAATACCCTATTGCATTTTTGGATTCTCTGAGCAAAATAAGTTAAGTTATAAAAAAGGCGAAAACTTAGCTATTAACATCCTAATACCATTCGATAGGTAATTAAAAATTGCATTTCCTGGTAAGTTAAAAAATATGGGGTTGTATTTAAATTAATCAAGTTAGAGCCACTTTAAGTTCTTATTTGATTAGTTTAAATTTGTGGACACCCTGTATAACATGGTAAGTTTATTATCATTGGGATATAAAATATTATATCTTGTTACACTTCACTATAAATTACGCTTACATAACTTAAATACTTCTAAAGTATTTGACACGTGAAAATTAGATTTTGATTAAATTCGTATTATTTAAAAAACCTTAAGATTTAGGTGTTATAAACCTTATTAAAACAGACACTTATTTTGTTCAGCGAATCCAAAAATGCAATAATATACAGGACATTCTATTTAAAAAAACGCAACTTTGATACCTTTAGAACTTTTGGGACATCCTGTACACTGCGAAAATATTTTTAAAATGTGCGCTCAGTAGGCGTCGGACAATTCATAAAATAATACTTTTTAAAAATCAAACGGTTTAGCCGCAAACTTCCGTGCTATATAGCGTGAATAACCCTGTATATACATTTTTAAGAATCAATTTAAATTTTATCTGAGACGTTTTGAATATACAGGGTGTCCCGTAAGCACATGATCAAAAGTATACTGCAATATTCTTTGCATCCCGTCTTAGTTGCACCACTCTGTACATTACATGATGAGACTAAGACTTTCGGTCCAGGACCTCATTAAGACACATTATTCATTACTTCCTTTGCCCATGAGGCATCTACACGTTCTTTTTCAAATTTATCTTTAAAAAGCTTATGTTTATTTACAGCAAATCTCATTTCCTTCGTGTTTTCTAGTTTTTCACCGCAAATTTTTCGAGAAAAATGATAAAATGCAATCGAACCCATAGGTTCTCCATTCGAATGATGTTCCATGCCTTGATCGCGAGTTTCTGGCCTTTGGGACAAAAACCTCTATTTTCGTTTATACAACATGAATAAAAGCCCTGGGAAAGCCGATTCAATTTAGACAGTTTTTTTTGCTTCCTTGCAGTTTTTCGTTCTGTGCTATTTTAAGCAAAATCACATTTCCTATGGCGAACAAATTTTATTACATTCTGTATACAAATGTTTGAATATTTGAATGTCCCGCTAACATCAGTCAACGTCATGAGCGGTTTGATCTGTTACACGTGCATTGCTTTACTTGAGTAAAACAAGGACGAATATAGCCGCAGTCACTCCATTTTTGACTAACGTCAAAATTGCATTCAAAACTTGCAAACCTGATTAGTACTTGATAAAATTGATGTTTTTTTTTCGTGAAATGTGCCATTTTCAAACGGAAAATGTGCAGAAGTCACTATGTAAGTATTTACCTTTCACTGCTAATAATAGATTTATGTTTGGAGCCAAAAGAATGTATTATCTGTACTTCTAAAGCCTTCGGTTGCCCCTTAAGGAGGCGCACTTCGATATTCTGTTTGGACAGCATGTAAAACGCCCCATTTGGGCCAATTATGTGGCCCCAATTTGCATTGATTATACCTCCCTCCAAATTCAATTTTTACCGGAAAGTTGCAAGTGACCTTTAATGCTTGGCTCCCCTTTCAGTTCTATAATTAATCGTACAAGTATGAATATCTTAGTAGCAGCAGCAGCCCGATAGAGGTGGAAAACTTCAGACGGTCCCAACTAGCAACGAATAAAATAAAAGCAGCTGAATTAATTCCGCTAACGGTCAATGCTGAAGCCATTTTTTCAAATAAATCCCCCCAACCTACTTACTATACATATAGGGCATCATATTTTACCTTTTCATGTCTGATATACGGCGCGTTAAAGGGATGTAATGTTGATTGAAATAAATGAATCTGGTGAGAGCGTGCAAGAACTGAAAGAATGCTTTAATGACAGTGCTACGGGAATTTTTCTTTGTCCCTAATTAGCAACGTTATCTCTTAAGCAGGTGTACGTATTCAGCATTTAATCAGCAGCCATCGCAGTTGTCACTGTGAGCAACTAGCAGTGCATCGAACAATAGCTAAGATAGCTTAGGAAAACTTTTAATTGGTTTATTATAGCGAAGCTTCGGTGTGTGATAAATAATGCGTGCTAGCACTAGCAGTTTTCTCAGCACAAGACATTCAAGAGCTTCTAAATAAAATGTCCAGAATATCAGAGCCTGCAGTGTAAGATTTCGAAATACTTCTGCAATATATTGTTTGAAAAAAAAATGCGACTTTTTGGGTCTCTACTTTTCATTTTAACTGCAAAACAATGTAAGTTTCCGCGTCTTCGGAACGGTGAACTGTTCCTGAAGTAAGTGGGTACAGATTTCGGAAGGTGCTAGTCTTTACCGGTTTTGCGCCTAGGCCTGGGTAACACTCTCTTGAGTTGCGCTATTGAGTTGTTGCCGCTCACTGAGTTGACGAGTTATAACTCATCGGTTAATGATTCATTTGTTAATGCTTTACGAGACCCGAGACTGGAACTTTCATCATCATCTAAAAAAGGGTCATTAACATTTTTTCTGAGTAACGTTTTACTACTTTGTTCAAACAACTAAAAAAAAAGTCATCTGGATTTTCCCAGCAACAGAACTGAGTCCAAAGATTTTTGCAGATTGAGAGAAATTTTTTTGCATAAAAGATTCAGTTTGCCAGTATTTTACAGTAAAATGTTAAGAAAAACGCGGTTTTTTTGTTTAGAGACAGTGTTGTTTAGAAATATTGACCTACAAGTGAAGAAACTCCAGTTTCCAATACTTTTGCAAATAAATGATTATAAACTTTCGCTCTTTCAGTTCGAGTAAATATTTTTGGAAAAAGACCTACAAATAATTATTCGAGTTTTGTCCATAATTTGAAGCTGCAAAAAGTTTTCCAAACATTTTTGCAAAGCGGTTAAGGGGGCGAGTGTTGATCTTACAATTTTTAACAGAAAATACCTTAAAACTTGCCAGTATTTTGAGTAAAACTAAAAAATAATGCGTTTTTCGCGTAAAAAAATTGTTTAGTGTAAACTTTGTTAAAACTGGAATGATCTGAAAATTTAAAGAAACTTTAGAAATCTTCAGAGCCATGAAGGCGGCGAATTTTCCTAATAATTTTTCGTAAAGTTTTGCTTTCTGGTCATTTTTCTAAGATAGTTCTAATTACATTCGGTAAAAAACTGAATAAAATTATTCGGTTTCTGTGCCAAATTCGAAGCTGAAAAGGAAAACCGATGAAGGGGGCGAATTTTCTAGCAAAATTTGATTTACTTTGTCATTTTTGACTGAAAACACCC